GGAGTCATGGCCCATCGTCGCATGTAATTCAAACATGTGATATCAGTGAAATGTACATGAATAATGTAATCGAAGTGCGCTGCCCAGGAGTTTATTATATATAGTAAAATTTAAACATTGCGCATGCTATGGTATGTTATTGTATGGTTTAAATTGCATATTCATTTCATTTCGAATAAAATAATTCACAATAGGAACATCGATGAAGTATTTAAAATATTTTCCCGACATTCGGTAGACACCTGACTACTATCTTTTTCAATGATTTAAATGCGCACATGTGTAAGTTTGCGTAATTATTACGAATGCAACATTATCAAGTCGGTAATATTGAGATACTCACAGACCCAATACCCCGGGTCAGTACCCTAACAATATTAAAAAGAACTTGAGTTTGCGTAATTATTATGAAAGCAATTACAATGTTGAAATATTAATCAGAGCCGGTACAATATTGTAAACAAAATTGCGTAATTAGAAAAGCCAGTACAGAGTTGTGTACAAGTTGCGTAATTACAGTACCGTCGGATATCATAACAATTTTACTAGAATGACACGCGAGGCAAGAACGAAAGGGGTTGCTAAGGTAACGTGCCAAACTTCGGTCAACATACACTTGATGTCAGCGAAATTCGATTGTAGGTCGCACCAAAGAGCTACGGAACCGCAGCTAACAATGACCCACCAACTTTATTAAATAACCAACTTCCATGTTTACTTTATGCAGATGACTTGCTTCTCCTTTCAGAAACCAATACAGGTCTTCAGAATGTGATTAATTCCCTGCAATTATACTGCCACAAATGGAAGTTGGAGATCAACATTAAAAAATCTAAAACAATCATATTTAACAAAGCAGACACCTAGACAAATATAATTTTTTTATAAACCAGGATGTACTGGAAAGAGTGACATCATACACTTACCTTGGCATAAATTTAAACACAACAGGGAAATTAGAAAAAGCCCGGGTAGACCTAAAAAACAAAGCTCTTAAGGCCTGCTTCAAAATGAATCAGCTATTATTTTCGGCAACTTGTACACCACTCAGAATTCATTTGAAGATGTTTGATGCAGTAGTTAGACAATTCTCTTATACTGCACTGAAATGTGGTCTAGTGATATTATTGCCCACACAAAACAGCTTTGGAATTTGACAACACCCATGGAAAAAACTCCATTCCAAATTCTGCAAGTTTTTATTAAAGGTGAATAGCAGAGCCTCAAACTTGCCATGTTTAATTGAATTAGGGAGGTACCCTCTTACAATACAGGGTACAAAACAATTGTTAAACAAGTCATTGTCAATGACACGTCCCCGTTCCGTTCATATTTGAGTGACATATACATTCAAAGCAGATCATGACCGAAATGCACCTGCACAACACATTGTGCTAAATCTGAACAAAATCCATCCATGCATGACTGAGATCCAGTTCTGGAATTGTGAAAATACGTGATTTTGATGCATTTTCGGCCTTAAAATGGCCATCATTCCGCTATTGTTAAGCAGATCATGAAACAAATGCACATATCTATTTGTGACATGATGTACCATGTGTGTGTGTAAAGTTTGAACTTGATCAATCCAGACATGTCTTGGATACGGATCCAGAACTGAATTCTTTAACAAAATGGCCGCCAGTCGAACTTGATTCGAAAAAAAAAAGACGTGCATCAATGTCCTATTATGTTTAATGTATGTACCAAATTTGAATGAAATCCGTCCATGCATAACTGAGATCCGGGTCCGGAATGGTGAAAATGTGCGATTTCAATGCATTTTCGGCCTTAAAGCGGCCGCCATTTGGCTATCGTTAATGAGATCATGAAACAAATGCACATACATATTTGTGACATGATGTACCTTGTGTGTGTGAAGTTTGAACTAGATCAATCCAAGCATGTCTCAGATACGGATCCAGAACTGAATTCTTTAAAACAAAATGGCCGCCAGTCGGCCATTTCGAACCCGATCCAAAAAAAAAAATGACGTGCATCAAGGTCCTATTATGTTTAATG